CTTCTGCTCCACCACCACGACAGCTGTATTTCTGCCCCATTTGCCTGCGGACGTTCCTTTACCAGTCTGACCTGGAGCGCCATAGCATCACCCATTCAGAGAGTAAGCCGTACGTATGCCGCGAATGTGGCAAGGCCTTCAAGCGTTCCTCCCACCTTCAGCGGCACAAGCACATCCACACCGGTGAGCGGCCCTTCAGCTGCCTCATCTGCCGCAAGGGTTTCCGGGAATCCGGCGAACTGTTGCGTCACCAGCGGGTCCATACTGGGGAGAAGCCCTATCAATGCCAGATCTGTCGACTGCGCTTTACAGAACGGAATACCCTCCGTCGGCATGCCAAGCGCAAACATGCCCGTGAGACCTACTATCAGCGCTCTGTGGAGGAAGGAGGGGGCAGTTGGACTATGGAGGGGGACTGGGAATCAGAAGTGGTAGTGGGAAGTGGGGACTGGACCACAGAGGAGCTTGGGAGCGGCTGGAGCAGTGAACCAGTGGAAAACTGGGTTGAGGGTGGGAATCACTGGAGGGAAGCTTCAGAAAGGCAGGTGGGAAGCCTGCCTGGAGCCATGACACAGATATTACAGATGGAGCACATCAAAGACAAAGACAAACCTGAGATTCAACTCCCATAAATATGAAGAAGTGGGAGAGACAGACACTGAAGGATCTTTAAATAAGTTTGTTCTGCCATTATCTGTTGGATTAAAACTTTTTCTCTGTAAGAAAGGACATGAAAGTAACAGAAGTATCTTCTAGAACTGTTCTACAGTGTTTAAGCCTTTCAAATAGCACTGTATGGGCATCACCAAAGACTAGAGAAGGCTGTTGGGGACAGGGAATTGAGGCTGCCCCCCTTCAACATTGTATCACGATATCCAGAGCTGCTTTGAAGATAGGGGAACATTTCATGTTTTTAATTCTTTCGTAGGTGGAAATGAAACCGAGAATACTGTTTTCTTAAATTTCCTGTGCTTTCTTGAAGAATTAGTACAAAGAGAGTTGTGTTCCTCTCACAATTGTACCAAACACATTATTGATACATGATGATCCTCTGTAAAATGAATTGCCCTCCCCACACACCTGAGCTGCTATTTGTTTTGTTTTCCTTTAAAATCCATATGGATACAAGAGGGCATATTCTGTTTGCAAACACTTTAATGAATTAACATATGCAAAACAGTGCTGTCTTTTTTTCCTTTATACATATTCCACTTTAATCAAGGTGAGGGATTTAGACCTCTCTCTCTCTCCCTCCCTCCCTCCCTCTCTCTCTCTCTCTCTCTCTCTCTGTCTGTCTTTTCTCTACAGCTGGATATTTACACAAACTTTGAATTCATTGAAATAAATCAAAATAACTTTTATATAACTGTTTTCATCCAATCCAGAATGATGGTATTCAGGCAAAGAATGAGCAAGGCAGTTTATGTTAGCACTTCAATGGAAGCACTAATTTACATTGTCATGTCTCATCCTAAAAAGATCTGAAAGATTGTCCTTTGAGGTAAACGTTGCCAAGGTATTATAAATTCCTACCCTAGCCCTTTCACAGAATTGTATTTCCAAGATTCTTTGAAGGGAAACAAGAAGTTATGCAAAGCTGTCACAAACTGTGAGATTCTCAGTGTTTCAATTGCAAATAATATTTACATTTTATGTAACGGGAAACATTGGGGTGTTATTTGCTGAATATTTGCAGTCAAAATTTTGAGCAGCTTTGCATTACAAATAGCTCCCTAGTCCCCTTCAAAAAACCCTGGAAATCTTCTCTATAATGTTAAGCTTTAACATTAACAAGCAGATTAAAGAAAAGCAAGCTAGGGGCTATAAGTTTACATGCACAGTCTTTGATATGTAAAAACTGAAAAATAAGGGCTGTCTAGTCATTTCAGATAATTGCCGCCAGCGGTCCAATCATGAAGTAACAGTAAAGAAATAAAAATGGTGATGGAAGTGTTTTGACTTTGGTCGAAATATACTTATGGCTTCCTGGACCAAATGTATGTTTGATAATGCCATTTCATTTCCATGAGACGATGTGCATGCCGATTATAACAAGATATCAGCATTGTGTTTCTAAGTGTAGGAGCTCAGTCTTTCTGAGAGAGAGTTGGACTCTTCTGTTAAAAGCATTTAAGGGACGTGGTGGCTCAGTGGCTAAGACACTGAGTTTGACAATCAGGAAGGTCAGCAGTTCAACGGTTCGAATCCCTAGCGCTGTGGAATGGAGTGAGCTCCTGTTATTTATTCCAGCTTCTGCCAACCTAGCAGTTCGAAAGCACCTAAAAACGCAAGTAGAAAAATAGCGACCACTTTGGCGGGAAGGTAATAGTATTCTGTGCGCCTTCAGTGTTTAGTCATGCCAGCCATAGGACCACAGAGACATCTTCGGACAGCGCTGGCTCTTTGGCTTTGAAACGGAGATGAGCACCGCCCCCTAGTGTTGGGAACAACTAGCACATATGTGTGAAGGGAACCTTTACCTTTATTAAAAGCATTAGGCTTTTGATACAAGAAAGAGGTAATTTCTGCAAAATAGAAACAAGAATACTGAACCATGAAACCTGTACTTAATGTATATGTGTTTGGTAATGCAAATATTGGTCTGCAATATTTTTCTAAAGGATAGGTTCTTCTCCTTCTAAGGCTTGCATTTCATAAGACTCTCAAATTTGTTCATGCACAATACTGAATAGCAAACATTCCTGTATGTAAGGTCAGACAGATATTGTCTATAATATTTGATTAGAAATAGCTGTCATTTTCTGTTACGCTTCTTTGTGGGCAATCCTACTTACAGACTAAATCTCCGTTTT